CTCCTGGTAGTACTACTGTACCATAAAAAATGAAAATGGAGCAGACACCAATTATGCCGGGTAGTCAGATGTTGTGAGGAGGTGGAGGAACACTTTTTCACACATTCATACAGATACAGACTTTTTACACATTGCAGCAAATCTCTTTTTATTGTTTTTTAATCGGAGTCAGATTCAGAAGAGGCTACTGGAGCTTGCAGGGTCAATTCCTCTTGTTCCATCCTTTGTTTTTTGACAGCTGACTTCTTGAAAACATGTCCAAGGTGGTCTGTTTCTCTCTCTTCTTCAACACCTGTCGGAAATGACGGGCAAGGGTGTCATTGTAGAGATCATTGATCCTGTTGGCCTCAGCTCTGTTTGGATAATGAGTATTGGTAAACTGTTGAACCTCTCCCCATTTGACAAGGAAGTTTTTGTCAACTTTCACGCCTTCTGATGATTTCTTGCTTTGTTTCAATTGAAATCACCTTTCTGTTTTTTAGAAGGCATGATTTGCACAACACTTGAATAAATGTAAATACCCCCTGCACTGAGGTGATGTACTGTAACTGTAACGAATCCCAACTGGAGCTCTGTACTTCAGATATACTAATAATATATTCTAATAATACTAATATATTATAAAAATAGCAGATTGTCATTGGCAATGGCAAACGAGTGGAAACATCATTCGCACTTGTTCGTAGAAAGTCCGTTGTTCACAGCCAGTCTGTTGCTCGAGTCACGTAACAGCCAAACAGAAAGTCCGTTGTTCGCAGCGTCTGTTATTCGAGGCGTACGTTATATGAGGCACCACTGTATATATATAACTTACATAAAATACAATTTAGATAGAGAATGAGGCCATTGTATTTCTGGTAGGCAATATGTAACTCTTGTCATGACAAGGTTTGGCCAGATCTGTTATATGATATAGTTATATACATTCAGTAATGCAGGAATGATATAAAATTTGAGTGTTGTGATATTCAATTAATCTAACAAATGTTAAAATTGTTTTTATTTGTGAATAAAGTTCTATTAAATAGTTCAATTTTATTTTTTTTTTTAAACTTTTAATATGCATCTGCTGAACAATAAATCTTTACAAAGTTTTACTGAAGCAATGCAGTAACTTATATTCCAGATGTCAAAACAGATTTTCTATCATTCTAAGATGTTACGATGTTCTATCATGATTGTGCTGTTTCTGATGTTGTAATAATGGAATATAGTTTTGTATCTGTAATGACGAACAATAAACAATTTACTTTGAATGTTGTTATCTTTGGTTTTATATGGTTTTATTTCTTCTCCAATTACTTCAGTAATTTAATTAATAGCAAATTAATATTCACATATCAAATATTGACAATAACTATAGGATTCAAAAACACTTACATGATATATGTGTATATGTTACCGGCCAAACCCAATTTCAGGCCAAACTAGTTTATCCTATGCATGTCAGGATATACTAATTTAGCCTAGGATAATCTAGTTTGGCCTAAATACTTTAGGCTTAACTAGTTTGACCTAGGCCAAACTGATTTATGTACTACAAATAGGTACCAGTGTAAAAAAAAATAATTTTGTGTAATTCAAAATGCCCCACAGTACACCCAGTGGTTAAAGTTTACCCAATTGCGGTGCTTCGGTTAGATTGGTTTGGTTAGATTAACTACATTTTTAGTAGACATTTCCTTTTTTTCTTTTGTTCAAGAACTACCGTGAATCAGTAACTAGTGACTTTAAACAATGGGCGGCCTGCTGGCAGCTCCCCTCCAGGAGGAGTCCACAGGGAGCACAAAAGTGCCGCCATTGGGGTTACCTAGGTACACTTTAACCCACCCTGTAAAAATAAATAAAAGATTAAATATTTTATATGTTACACTAAGAAACACAAACAAGTTCATTTTTAATTTTAGTTTGACTTTAAAAGTTATTTTTGTTATTTTGTTTGAATTTTTGAAAATATTTTTGAAAGTTAATTACCTTTAAAAGTGCATGGCTTAATGAAAAAATACAAACTGATAAGTACTGATTTGCTTATTTTTATTTTATAGTTTTGTACAAGTGTTGTGTCATGTCTAATCAATATTGTTTTTTTATAATTAAGTAGACTATGTTTGAATAAATATTGTTCATCTAATTGATTGCCTTTTAATTTTATTTTAACTATTAATATACTTAAATCAGGCCTGGCCAACCTGCGGCCCATCACATTAAATTGTGTGGCCCACTAAGCGATATTATATATCTATTAAAACTTTCATTTTCCATTTTGTGTATACCAAAACAATTAAATACAGTAGAGCATCTATCTATCTATCTAGCATAAAGGTGATGAAGACCCAGGACTGCTCATAGGTATTGCCTGGGTGTGAAAGGAAGAAGGAGAAAGGGTTATAGGGAAGTGGTGAAGGTGAAGTAATAAAGCGAGATAGGAAAGGGGATGAAAGGGAAGTACAGTAGAGCATCGATTATCTGACCCCTGATCAACCGTCACCTCGGCTAACTGACCGCGTTCTAGTCGGCAAATTCAAATGTCTGCTGGTGATGCGGTGCTATAATATTTGGCTATGTCTTGGCTCCTTTAATATTATTTTCGTTAAATTTTTTGTGTTTTAGCTGGCAACACTAGCTTGACCATGAAAGGGATGCCAGTATTTAAACAAGACTTAATTTTCTAATTACGAGTGGTTGTTTGTTGTGTAAGCAATAAAATAATTTAAAAATAACTTTTAACGACACAATAGCAACGATTATTATTTAAAAAAAAATTTGTTAGGCTTAACATCGATGTGAATTCAATGTGAAGTATGTTAATAGCGATATACTAATATACTAATTACATGGGATATAATATTTTCGTTAAATTTTAATATACTATACTAATAATGTATTTTTTCATACTTTTCGGTTATCCGTTTTTTCAGTTATTCGACCAACCTCAGTCCCCAATTGAGTTGGATAATCGATGCTGTACTGTAAATGAAAATTTGCATGTGTCGTTGTTATAATGTGCAAGTGCGAGTACGAACTCTTGGTATAACAATGAAATCTTATTCATTTTGTATTTGTTTTACTGTTTTAAAAGCATGTTTACCTAAATTGTGGAACATTGTAATGTTACATGTGATCAAAGTGGCCTGCGAAACAATTTGTGTTGGCCAGGCCTGACTTAAATAATAATTCTAAATCAGTTTGGCTTAGGACAAACTAGTTAAGCCTAAAGTATTTAGGCCAAACTAGATTGTCCTCGGTCAGGGGTCGGCAACCTGCGGCTCGCGAGCCACATGCGGCTCTTTGGATGTGAAGCTGCGGCTCTTTAGTTCCATACGCAAATATTTATTTTATAAAAAATTTGTTGTGAAAAACACTACTTATATATGAATAAACAGATTAATTTTTTTTATCAAAAAACTTTATTTATGCGAGTACTATTTATTGTTGGCAAGAAAAAATTTTGTGGCTCTTTAAAAACTTTGAAATTTTGTAAATTGTAATTTTGGCTCTTCTGACTCAAAAGGTTGCCGACCCCTGTCCTAGGCTAAACTAGTATATCCTGACATGTATAGGTCAAACTAGTTTGGCCTGAAATCAGGTTTGGCCGGTAATATAATATATATGTATGTATATATAGCAATATATAAGGGGTAAACAGGAAGTAAATTGACATTTGAAATAAAACAACCAGTAGTGCATGAAAATGAAATAAGAAGCTATTACAATGCAATGCAAACAACAAGTCAAATGTATACTACAATTTCTGGTGGTTAAATAACAGAGAATATGCCTTCTTACTGATCTTTTCTAACCATCAAGATTAAAATCAGAAAATCTGCTGACTATAGACCAGATTCCATAATTTAGAGATAGAAAAAACTAATTTTGTCAGTTTTGTTTTCCTGGATAATCACATTGTAAAAAATAAAGAAGTTGATTTTTATGCATATTTTGTTTACACACCCTTAATGAATAATAAAAGTTCTATAACAGATTATTTTTTAATCATACTTTTATATTAGTTGAGAAAAACTGTTCAGGATAAAACAATTATTTATGTATTGTGGGTTATTGTTTTATTTTCAGTTCTGTTTCAAATTAATGATACTATAATACAATGAACTTGATATTTTTTCAGACTACCTTAGCTGATCGAGAAATATTTGCTTTTGAATTGAAACAGTTTTGTGAAAATTTTAATACTGCTGGCCCAGAAACTTTAACAGATGATTTTGAGAAAGGTATATAATTTTTAAACTGATAAAAGTATTATTGACTACTTAAAATTTTGAATGAATTACAGAATTTAGATTGTTAAAATACTAATTATATTTATTACTTTTATTCAAGAAATTATAATTAATATAAATAAATTGTTAAATGTTTACTTGAAGTAAAAAAAAAAACAAAAAAAGAGACAACTTTATAGTTCCAAATTTATAAAAATTTAAACCATAAATTTAGAAAGAACATATTTAACTGTACTTTCTTGTTGATAATAGACATAATGCTATAGATTTCATTTTGAAAGTCAAAAATGTTACACTTAAAATGTACATAATAATTAAAAATAAAATTAGAATCATTGATTTATCTTATTGTTTTATTAATGCTTAAATTTTTAAATTACTGTTGTGGAGCTATAGTGTGAGATTGGCAGTGGGTCACTGGTTAATCCCCAAATGACCACTTACTCTGCACAGGCTGGTAAAACCCAATCTCAGAGTCTGTTGGATGGCTAGGAGGGCAAATCGAGTGGGGAAGGAGTGAGGAAGCTGACAGGTGTCCTTAAATGACAGGAGACAGGTTCAACAAAAATAACAAACATTTATTGAATGGCTAAGCTATGATACATATGGTGATAACAATATATAGGTTAAATGCAGTTAAATACAACTCAGAATAAATGCGGCTAACATACTATACTCCTTCCTCCAAGGGTTAAACTAAAAATACACTTAGGGAGAGAGAGAGTCCTCAGGTTCAAATAATTACCTCAAAGAGAGCTCTATGTGGTGATAAGTGTTATGTGGAAGTTCTTATGGTCTTCTATGGTATCTTCTCCTTTCGTCGGGTCGAGTTCGTTATATGGAGGTCCGGGAGACAAGATGCACACATCGACAAGTATAACTTCCAAGAGATCGCCTCGAGCTTCCAGGGATTCAAGCTTTTATATCATTCGCGTGGGAAAACTGTCACGTGATTGACTTTTGTTGACGATGATGGTGCATTCTTCACACGTAAGTGTAAACTTTCCCAGCTAGTTGTTATACAATCGGTGAAATCCAATATAGTTCAAATTCTTTGGGTTTTTTCCGAGGATATTTACACTTAAAATAAAATTCAAATTTTTAAGAGCTCTGTAAAAATTCGCAGGCTCACAGTAGAAATATGATGTCTGCACTGAGGAGGAGATATGTAAAATTTTTGTGACAGACTGTCACCATGGTAGGAGAGTGTTAGTAGAATGATTATGTCCTAAAGATTCTCAAAAATTTTTCTATTTAAAATATTTTTTTTTTTAATCAAAATCATTATACAAAAATATCAAAATATTTTTGTATAATGATTTGTGTATTTTTGTATAATGATTAAAGTTTTTGTGCATTTAAATAGTTACACTTTAGTAGAGGTGCTGTATTAAATATACTCTGTTGCAGCACTCTGGCAAAACTTTTAATATGAAAGGATAATTGCAATAATTTAATCTTTACAGATACAGATTTTAGATAACAATACTGTTGAAGGATATATTGATATATTGAGATGGGTTAATAATAATAATCTCTCCCTTTGGGAGAGCCCAGTAATTTTACTGATACATAGAGCAATTTAGGCTGGAGCGCAAGCTCCTGGTAGGGATACCCAGCCAATAAGGTCTATGGGGAGAAATGAAGCTAAGAGTGACCACACTCACATTCTATGGAGATATTTATCATGGTAGTAACCAGATCACAGTGTGATACCGGCTCGGACGTCGCCCGGGTTAACAAGGTCCGCGTTCATGGGTTAGGCAGAGGCTCATGTTCGAAAAATAGGCCACAGTCTCCCTTGGTTACTGGTGGAGAAAGCAGCGCTGGCCCAAGCATGGCTACTGCAATGCCCTCAGCAGATGTGAGGAATCAACCTAGCCTTGGTGTTTCTGTGGCAATGCATCCACAGACCACAAAGGCTGGAAAACCACGCCAACGGATGAAATGGACATCAGAAATGAACAAGTTTATCATCCGCACTTACTATGCAATCACAAAACTCGAAACAAACATGACAGCATACAGACAACAACTACACCATAGATTCACACAACAATATCCTCACCTCACTGTCACAGAACAAAGGGTTGTTGATCAAAAGAGAACAATTATACACAATAACCTTATTCCACAAACAACACTTGAACTTATCAAACAACAGGTTGCTGATCAAATACATCAACAGACAGAAACATCTAACATTAACTTTACATAGAAAAAGGAGTCCTAAGAAAGATTTTGCACTTGGAAATAGAGATGTTATTGAATCCATGGAAGAGGGTGAGTTCTACAAGTATTTAGGATTCCAGCAGGCCAAACTAATAGAACATTCAAAATAAAGCAAAGATTAATTAAATAATACGAAAGTAGGTTAAATGCTATTCTCAGAACACAGTTAAAGCAATAAACACATATCATTTCAGTACTCACATATTCTTTTGGAGTTATACATTGGACTCACACAGATCTCAAGCAACTCCAACAACACTTACTAAGCATAAACATCATCATCCTAAATCCATTATAGAAAGATTAACCCTTCCACATAAAGATACAATTATGAGTTCAAAAGGCACTTCGTGGCAGGCATCCCTATGACCTGACCCAGGATTTTGTTGACAAAATTCAAACAGCTAGTTAGTTTTGGGATGCCTCTTTGGAGAGATGGAAGGATTCATGATTGCCATAAGGATCAGGTCATAAATACTAAAAACTACAGAAAACACACACTCAAAGACACAACACTCACAAATGACACATGCAGAAAATGTCACATCATGCCAGAAACTATACAACACATTACTTCTTGGCACAGACAGATTATTTACACAGACATAATCAAGCAAATATAATACACCAAGAGCTTGCAAAGAAACACAAATTGGTAGACATCCATGAACCATACTACAAATACATTTCACATACAGTATTGGAAAACAACACGCACAAAATGTACTATGACAGAGCCATAATTACATATAAAACAATTTACCACAACAGACCAGACATCACACTCATTGACAAGCACAATTAAATTATATATTATAGACATATCCATTCCAAACACTCACAATATACAAAACACATGCACTGAGAAAATTAGCAAGTACATGGAATTCACCCAGGAGATAAGACATCTGTGGAGGATGGATAGGGTGCTTATTGTACTGTACCTGTCATTCTCTCCTCTACAGATGTCGTACCACATACACTACACAAAAGCCTGGGCACATTACAATTGAATAGATATGTATGTCACACTACAGAAGGCCACTATATTGAATACATATCATATTGTTAGGAAATTCCTGAATATAAACAGACACACTGACACACTTATTTAATTTTTGTTTTTGGTTGCTATGCCTTGACTCTGGTCTGGCATAGTACACAGCCACCTGTGTCAACCATGTATAACTCACTAAACCCAACATGATAATGATAATAATAAGAACGGTTAGGAGTTGAAAGTTGAAATTTGGTACATAGTTAGGGTATGTTATGAGAACGTATACACTAAGAAGGGATTTTTGGATAGTTCCCCCTGCAGGGGAGAGGGAGAGGTTTAAGGATTACCCTTAAGAACTTGGCTTCTGCTGAACTATTTTAGATGCAGTTTTTGCACTTTTGCAGGAAATTGAACATATTTTTAGACCCATATAAAAATTCTCTAATTAGTCTTGGAAAAGGGGGGGCCTAATTCTTGCACCCAGTGAAAACATAAGATTGGCTATAATCTAATAATCTTAATCTTCACTATTGTTACTTTTTGCCCAAGCAACACTGGGCTCATCTGCTAGTATATCATATTATCTTTAGTCTAGATGTTACATAGTACAATGTCATCAGATTCTTTTGTGATACATCAGTGAATTTAACTTTTTTTTTCTATTAGTTGATTTTTAAAATTGGCCTTACCTTGGCAGGAAGTATGAATAAATTGTAAAGTTGCTAATGGGAGGAAATTTCAAGAAGGTCAAGGGGTCGCTAACAGGGTATGTGGGTGCAATGGTCACTGTTGCTGAGACAGACTCTACGATTACAAGAAACTATTTATTTGACACAAAAGGAGCTTACAAGATTTCCACAATCTTGGAAGTTCTAAGTTGGCAGCAGCCTCTGGGTCTTCTTCTCCTTTTTCAAGATAGTCCCAAAGGAAGAGTGTCCCTGGTTTGCAAAGGACAGTTCCTTCCAAATGACAGTTTTAACAACTTCAGGATGATGCGGTCAACTTCCAGTGATGGGAAGATGTCAAGCCGAGGATGGGAGACAGAGACAAATATGGGCATGAGACACATACACAACAATTGGCCCGATACTTGGAATTTTTGGGAGAAGTCATCATATCTTTGAATTCTTGGGTATTTATTAATTTATATCCTTGATTGCCCATTCCAATTTGTCACTTTTTTTGTTCTCGCTTTCCAAGAGGTTGATCACTTGTTACTAAGTGTAATGCAATATCAGCTTAGATTGCAGGAAAGGTCAAAATTGATGTTTAATTCACTCCCCCAACCAGAGATGGTCAATCTTAGGACTTACATTCTTCTATTGTTCAAAACTTCACATTGCATTTTCATACAAAAAAAATTATTTCTAGCTTATATTTTTTTCTTTAAAAAATAATTTTACTGAGGATTTGGATCATTCAGAGCCTCACAAAATCAATGTACTGTACTGTAGATATGTTTTAGAGAAAAGCTTGATTTTAATATTGGGAATGGCAAATTAAGCATGACATCAGCAAATCTGAAAATTGGTGGCAAATACAACAGGGAGGGAGTTGGTAGTCAAAAAGGACTTAAAATTAGTGATATCATATTTGAATGATTCCTGTTGATTGCATGATTTTAGTGAACTTTCGACTTCAGGATTTTGTAGAAAATATATTTTGTACACTTATTTATATGTAATAAGATTTATTACTAACAAGTATATACCATATTCCAGTAGAAAAATTTTATTATTTATTCTTTTAAAGAGTTCTA